GAGCAGGGGGTGCGTCTTTCGTCTCAACTGCTGATTTATTGGGTATATCTTTGTACAGGCAGGAGTAACGATTAGGGGACGCGACCGAGGGCGCACCGCTCACTCGACCGCGTTCGGAAAACCCTCCGGCTCCGCGTCTCCGACGTCCGGCTCGGTCGGAAGCCCGGCGGTAGTGGAGAGGCGCGCGAAGAGCTCTCCGAGGAGGTCGTCTCCGAGTTGACGGACGACCTCGTCCAGGACGTCTGCGTGCCGGACGTCCGGGGGAGTCGGGCAGTCTCGGGCGAGATGTCCGGCCGCACCGCAGCGGAAGCAAGTGCGCGGCGTGAAGCGCGCGTGAGTCCGGTCGACTTCCATCGGAATGCCAGGCGGAAGTGCGGGCGCCGGCGCGGCTTTGGGAGCAGGCGTGAAGGAGGGGACTGGGAGGAACGTCCCAGTGCGAGGGCGTGCGGCCGGAGCCGGGGCGCGAGTCGGAGGTGCTCCCGCTCGGACGCGGGCGAGGGCGTCGTACTGCCGGAAGGCGCGGAGACGCCACCCGGCGTAGTCTAGCAGCGCCGGAGCGGTTCCGGACGTGGTGATCGCTGCGTTGATCCTCGGGTCGAGCCCCGTTCGGTACTTGGTGACGCGGACGAGCGGATCCGTGTACCCGGCCGTGGCGGCGAGCTCCTCGAAGTCGTCCGTGTACCGGTAAACGTCGCGAGAGCCCTGGTAGTAGCTATGGGTCTCGAGCCGGAGGAGAGCTTGGTCTTGCTCATTTTCCTCGACGAACCGGAGCCGGAACTCGGACTCGAACTCCGCCCAGGACGGGAAGGGGAACGGAACGATTGCGGACTGTCGTTCGGCCCATCGCCCGGCTGCGTCTCGCGCCATAAAGGACATGGCGTACCGCACGAGTTTTTCCTCGACGAGCTGTCCGTGGACCATGAAGGCTTCCGGAACCAGTCGGAGGTATGTGAGGACGGAGTGGAGGAACATCCGTCCTTGGGTCCGGTCGCCATCGAAGACGGCCGGGGGGTTCGGTCGAAGAACCGATTTTGCGACGGGGGTGAGGGTGGTAAAGTCTGGACCCACCGCCGGAGCCGGAGCGGCAGGGACGGGGGCAGTCGCGGGTGGATTTTGGTGGTTGTGTAAAACGCGGAGGAGTAGCGCTTCGATGTTTGCGAGAGAGCCTTCGACCGCGGTCAGCCGGGATTCGGGGTCGGCAGCCGGCTCCGGGATGTAAACATCCGGAAGCTCGGGTGGCGCGGATCCGTTTCCGGGCGTCGGAGCGTCCATCAAGGAGGAGGGGTCGAGATCGGAAGTCGGGGAGGCCGGAGCGCTAGCGTAGCGGTCCGAGTCCGAGTCAACACCGAACTTCGCAATCTTGACCGGTTGATCCCTTAGATCCTTTCTTCTGCTGTAAGGGCAACCTCAGCTCGGCGCAGAGCGCGGGAGACTAGCGGGAGAATCCGAAGTAACTCAATTGAATGGTACTAAATACAGGCTTCTAGAATACGCACCTAGCGGGAGAATCCGAAGAGAAGAAAGGATGAGGATTCTCACGCTAGGCGAGGTTTTTTAAGTACTAGCCAGTAGCACGTGCCCGGAGGGTTCGGCAGAGGTCTCGAGCTTGATCACACAGCACGTGCCAGTGAGAGCGGCCGGACGGAAGGACGGACGGACGGAAGGGAACCGAGTCCGGAGGGACGGGAGGTGGCGTGTCGGGTGGAGGCGCAGGCTGGGGCGCGGGTCCGGAGGCCGGACGAAGGATCGGACGAGGAAGCGGAGCCGTGCGATGGGCCGGAGCCGGACGGACGGATGGACGGACGGACGGATGGCCGGACGGACGGGCGGTTCCCCTGACAGGAAGTAACTAAAAGACAATAAGATAAGTCGTATAACAATAAAGACAATAAAGGAAAGCATGTGGAGCATAGTGCATAAGGACATAGGATGTGATGGTGAGTCGGATGACTGATGAAACCATCGGATACGACACCGTGTGGACTTGGTGTTGTGTGGAGAGTCCGAGGAAGTTCCGTGATACTTCCGAGGTCAGAGCCGGAAGACGGAAGACGGAGATCGGGGGACCGGAGGTTCGGATGAAGATCCGGAAGTGGCGAAGAATGCCGGAGGTTAGGCCGGAGGCGGCCGGATGTGGTCGGGAGTGGTCCTGGGGTTGCACGGGCGTAACATCCTCCGCGTTCACCTCTGCCTTTTTAGCCTCCGCGTCCGCCTTGGGCTTCGCATTCTGAGTCTGCGGTGCCACAGTAGCAAGATGGTTGTGGAGAGCTTGGTCTATCTGTGAAGGAGAGGGCAGACCGCCGTGGCTGTGGCCCAAAGCTTGCTCTGCGGCAGAAACAGCTGCCAGAGCCTGCTCATGTTTGCGTTGCGCAGCTTCATACTGATCGCGAACAGTGTCTTTACGTTCTTGTGGAACGGCCCATTAGACAGTCTTGTGGAGGATATATAATAAATGCAACACACTTTTCTTCGCTTTGGACTGCTGTACCTTGTAGTGCTGTGTCTCCTTGGTCTGCAAACACGCCACAGCCGTGGCAAGCCGCTCTTGAGCTTCAGCAAGATCTGAAGAAAGCTGTGAGATCCAGACACATCCGATAGTTTTTTATCTACCTTGTTCCAGGTGTTTGTCGAGCAAGGGCGTCAGTGGTGGAGACGACATGAGGGAAGACATCAAATACAACGAGGACCCATGTGGATCATATCCTTTTCCGGAATTCTTTGCCAATAGGTTCCCTATCTTTCTATCCTTCAATGCTTTCCAAGTACTCCTAAAAATTGCGAACTCGGTACTCCTTAATCATGAACTCATTACTGTACATACCCACTGTACCTGAGCTCAATTGGCTGTCAGATGAGCAGACTTCAGGACGAGACATGGCACGGTTCAATTCTCGAGTAGAAAATACAAAATTAGTATCTAAACTTCTCGCAAGTACCCTTGTAAGATGAGATGCTCGATATCGCGCTTCTGAAGCACATATTGAGGCCCTATTTTAAAGTCTAATATTCCTGATTCCGTAACGACAGGCCCCCAATTGGAACCACGCACTCCACTGTAACGAACGGGGACTCCGTGGGGGGGTGTTCAATGCCCATAGTGAGATCCATCACATCGCCGGGGAAAGCTGTTGACAGTATTCCACCACTGAGTCATGATGGCTACAAAGGTAGGCGATCTTGTCCTGGGACATGTCGGCCCGCAGCTGGGCGAGAACATGGGCGACAACTCCGCCCATGGCCCAGTAAGCGGTGCGAATGGTGTCGAGGCGCTGGGAATGGTATGCGAGAAGGCATTGTTTGTTTTGGTGAACCACTCTGACCAGGATCACGAGCGTGGGCCAGCGCTCATGCGCTGAGGTAGTGACGCCATCGTGCTGCAGTGCCCGAATCTTTTTCTCCAGCTCGTGCTGCTCCTGTAACACAAGTCGGACAAGAGGTCCATCGTATGGCAAAAGCCTCCCCAGTTCCATGCTTGATTTGGCTCGCAAAATGAGGTAATTGGCAAGTGCGGCATAAGATTCCTCAAAGGACATGAGGGATGGAAGATATGGGAGACTGGTTGGTAAACGAGTCACGAGTAAAAACTGCATAGTTGCAGGGGCAGTAAGATCTGACTGCTAGGAGGCTAGGTGCGCTGGCAGCTAGATCCCACCACCAGAAGAAATATGAGGGTGCGTAGAAGTGAGTGTGGCAGGTAGATGTGACTGCCAGAGACCATGGAGCGCGGCGGGTGGATTTGGTCGCCAAGAACCTATGTGAACGCTGCAGGTGGATATAGCCGCCGAAGACCTATGTGAGCGCGGCGGGTGAATATGCCTGCTGAAGGCCTATGTGAGCGCCGCAGGTGGATTGGACCGCCAGGTAGCTATGTGAGCGCTGCAGGTGGATTGGACCGCCAGGTAGCTATGTGAGCGCGGCAGGTGGATATGCCTGCCAAAGACCTATGTGAGTGCGGCGGGTGGATCTGACCGCCAAGAACCTATATGAGCGCCGCAGGTGGATCTGACCGCTGGAGACCTATGTGAGCGCGGCAGGTGGATATGCCTGCCGAAGGCCTATGTGAGCGCGGCGGGTGGATCTGACCGCGAGACAGTGTTCTGAGGCCAGCGGCTAGATTTGCCCGCCAGAGACAGTTGTGACCGCGGCGGGTGGATCTACCGGCCATGGACCTATGTAAGCGCCACAGGTGGATTTGGCCACCCAGGAGCTATGTGGCTGCCGCAGGTGGATTTGACCGCCAAAGAGCTACGTGAGCGCAGCGGGTGGATCTATCGGCCAAGGACTTTTGTAAACGCTGCAGGTAGATGTGACTGCCAGAGACCATTGTGAGCGTGGCAGGTGAATCTGGCCGCGAGATGACAATGTGGGCGGGGCTGGTGGATTTGACTGCCAGAGACGATGTGAGCACGGCAGATGAATCTGGCCGCAAGACGACAATGTGAGCGCGGCGGGTGGATTTGACCGCCAGAGATGATGTGAGTGCGGCAGGTGAATCTGGGCACGAGACGATGTTATGAGCGCGGCAGGTGGATGTGACTGCCAGAGACAATGTGAGCGCGGTAGGTGAATCTGACTGCCACAGGAGGTGGTGAATTTAGAGGTGCCCCAGCCTAATGACAAGTCATGAGGGCATTCTGACTGAATGAAAACATGTCCCCGACCACGATAAACCGGTTTGCCAATGATTCGAGGCACAATGAAGATCCCAGGGAAAGGACAGTGATACTAGTGGGCACGGTAAGATATGACCGCCGGCAGTCGGTTCACTGGGCAGTAGGAGCTCGCCGCAGAGGTGCTGGCAGTCAGATCACTCCGCCATTGGTGCCATCATTCCGCCCGCTGAATTCATTTATAGTGCGTGTCCATATGTGATACTACAGCCGGGTACCTCTGCCTTAGGCCATTTGATCCCTATACTCTTTACCTTTTGATGTGTTTGGTGGTATGATTTCGAGGTTCGTGATCAGATATAAAAGCTCGAGAGAGTAAAGAAAAAATATTGCCTGCTAGCCGGATTGAACGACTGACCGCTGCATTCATCACGTAAGCTGATCTTACAAGTGCAGCGCTCTACCACTGAGCTAAGCAGGCTTGCGGGAAGGTCATATTACAGCCCCTACGGCCTACGGGCTGCCTTTAAGCTGAAAAAACTAAGTCGTACGCAAGCACGAAGTAACAAGACTATGTGAATCGTGAATCGCACGCGAGCAGAGTACATGTGAAAGTAATCGTATAAGTGTCGTAGCTACATGTCCTGTCCACTTTTACAGTCTCTAAATGACTACATACACATCTACTGCCTATAGTCCACTGTGCTAACGAGCGTGTAGATTAATGTCCGCCATATCCTTGCGAGGCAATTGTGATGTGCCCACTCAGCCGCACATCCCTCGAGCTGGTCCCAATCGACACCCCAATCGTCCCGTTCGGCCGGCGCCAGCCCTGCGCAACCGTGTCCCAGAAACTCAGGTCGTACCGCGAAAGTGGGATCCCAACCTTCTTCTTGTCGCCCGGCAGCATCTCGACGTTCGTGAAGCCCTTGAGGAGGGATGGCGGCTCGCCGGCGGAGGCGGGCATGTGTATGTAGAGCTGTGGGATCTGTAGGTCCTTCAGTCAATGCTTCTTCGAAAGCCAAAGTAGACGACTCACATCCCCGCCCCAGACCGGCCCTGTGTTCTCGATCTCGAATGTGACATTAAACACCGGGCGGTGTAGCCTGTGACAAGGGTTCATACGCGTTCAAGGGAGGAACGAGATGAGACGCACCAAATCGCGGTCGAAGAACCCTGCGCTATGGGCGTCGCGTTCCCAGCAGCCCACGACTTTTCGAGATCCTCGTCAGTCGACGCCTGGCCCCCACCGTAGTGATGTGCAGCTTGCTGTAGGTGAAATTGGTATAGCTCAGCCCAAAGCCAAACTCAAAGCGAGGTGTGATGTTGAAGGCGTCGAAAGCACGGTAGTCGACGTTGAGTCTGAAAATAATTCCCGTCAATGCTCGCTCCAAGGACGCATGCACACGCACCCCTCCGTGTACGGGATGCTCAAGACATCGCTGCCCTCCCCGCCAAGGATGAGGTGCGCAGAATAGTCCGACGCATTCTTCGCGATGGTATAAGGAAGGCGACCGGACGGGTTCCAATCGCCGTACAACACGTCCGTGATCGCGTTACCGGTCTCCGCCCCAGACACACCCGCCCAGAGCACGGCCGTCACGTTGGGGTGCTCAATCCACGGCTCAAGGATGAGCGGCCCGACCGAGTGGACGACGACGATCGTGTTGTTGTTCTGCGCGGCGACAGCCAGCACGAGGTCGTCACCGTTGTTCCATGCAGTGAGATTTTGCCTAGGTCATCGTCAGTCGATTGACATTAGTAAGGAACACGACGGACCGATCGCCCTCGTTCCCGTCCACGGTGATGTAGTCCTCGCCAGAGTCGGACTGGAGGAAGACGATCGCGGCGGAGCGGCCAATAGCCATATTCCCGGCCCGATCCGTGTCCCAGTCGTCCAATATCCAAGACACGGTGGTGCGATCCTCTCTTGCGCGTCTTTGGATTGCTTCCAGCGGCTGTAACCGAGTTGCTCAATAATCTAGTTCTAAACAACGAATGACGCACAGAAATGAGGTACGTGAAGTTGGCAGTTCTGTATACGCGATATTAGAGACATGAAGCAAGAAAGGCCGAGCACTAACCCAGATCCCCAGCCGATCGCCAGGATCCCGTCGACGCCACCCTAGTCACCATAAGTACAAAAATGCGCATCATCCACGAAACGCACCTGATCAGCAAACTCGTTGGGCCCGATCTTCCCCGGCCCCGCATCGCTCCCGACAAGCACGATGCTGCGCGGCTTCTTGAGCGGCAGCGCCCCATCAACGTTCTTCAGCAGCACCGTACTCGCCGCGCCGATCTCGCGCACGAGCTTGTAGTGGTCCGCTTGCACATCGACGTGCTCGTTCGTCACCTCGCTCGCGGATTGAAGGCGTCAAAGTTAGGCGTGGGGTAGTCGGCCGCATCCTGGTGCAGGAAATACCACCCCGCAATGATGCGCGTTGCTGGGCAGGATGTCAATTTCAGAAACTCAGTCCAGTCAATCACCACGCACCCATGTCATCGAGCCTCGCTTCAGGGATGGTGTTATTCTCGACGAATGCGCTGAGGTTCGCGCCGAAATACTAGTAGCGTGTTAGGTGAATAGTGAGATGTTTTTGGAGTGCGTACTGTGGTTCCCGACTGGAAGGTAATGTCGCCCGGCATGGTCATCTGCGAGATTTAATGTTATTGCATCACAGCGGGCGGT